AAAAAAAAAAAAAAAAAAAAAAACTTTGTGACTGTCCTAACGATCTATCTTATTCTCCATACTAATGTGCAGGACCAAGAAATCGTCAACAGGGGATGGCATGCAGAGCTCGCACCCCACGTCGCACCCTTCCCTACTCTTCAACCGCCAACGACACACTCACAGTTGGTGATGATGTCCTTGCCCAAGGACATCCTCCACAAGATCCACCAGACCACGCAGACACCGTACCTAATAGAGACCCTGACCTTCAGTGACTGGGCAGTCCTCAGCGGAATATACGAGTCCTCCCCAGAGGCCCTAGACAGAAAGATACAGACCCTCGCACGCAACGCTCCAATCATGACCTCTAGAAACAGAATCGAGAATAGGGAAATCACCAGGATCATAGCGAACGGAGAAAAGACGATTCTGGAGAGGTTCGGATACAGTACCGCCCACCTTACAAATGTTGGTGACATTGACATCTCGGAACAAGTCAATGTCAAAAGACAGGAGAGGAGAAAACGGATAGGACTGTCACAGACAGAGATAGACTACCTAGAAAAACAGCAAGAGAAGAGACTGAATGTTGTCCTTGCTACCGCCTCCACAGCTGCAGATAACTCTGGTAGGACTCACAAACTTGCGCAGGACGGCCATTTCCTCCCTCTTGCCTCCAACTCCTGGATAGAAAGACACAGCAAGCATGTCTCTCACAAGCTTTGACACCTAGATAACTTCAACTACATGGCCCCCATCTCCATTGAAGCATACAAGGCTCTTGCCAATCTCTCAGACAAGGAACTGGAGAAATACAAGGAAGCTGCGGACGACTTCGCACTCCATCTCCCCCCTAACAGACCGGCATTCGACGGGAACTTTCCCATCTTGGCTATATTGGACAAGACGAAGTGCCCTGTCTCCAAACAAGTCCTTATCCAGAAAGGGTTCCCGCGGACCCCCCAGACTCTCGAAGAAGTGAAGAAGATGTGGAACACTGGAAGACCATATCTCAAGTGTTCCTGCAGTACGAACTGTGGAAAGTCAATCACCTTGTTCGATCACTTCATCTGGTACTTCATTGCCAATCTGAATTTTTTCGATCCAGAGGCACCATCTGACATCACAAGGATGTTGGACTTCCAGCAGCGTCTAGAGACTGAATGGAGGCAGCCAATCCTGGCACAGGTCACCTTCCTCTATATGAGAAAGATGATGACCAACCTGCTGGAGAGACTCATCGACGAACCCAAGAGCACCGCAGATCAATTGCTGGAGCACCCCTCCCTAAAGGAGGTGACTTTCGCCAAGAGATTTGCTGCAATCCTTCTCCCCGAAGCTGCCGAGCGGCTTGATCTGTCCTTATGAGGTGTGTCTGGCTAATTTTCCCCTGATGATAGATCCGTGCCATCTTTGTTGGACAAAGTTCGGAAGTTGTTTTTTCAACTATTGTATCTCGGCGGGTTCCGTCTGGGGGTACTGGTGCGGTGCCATGTTATTTTCCTGTTCAAGATTCCGGAATCCGGCTTTTCTCCTGAATGCCAATTTCCTATGCATATTTATCTTTCGTTCGTATTTTCGAAAATTCGTTTCTTTTCTTGGCCATAAAGGCTAGCCCATTGTTAAACCACTCAATCTGTGAATCATGTCCGTTCCGTGTGGACTGCCAGTAGTCCCAAACATCTCAGAGAAAGTTGCGAAATTGTGTCAGTTTCAAGAGAGATGTGTTGAGCTTGTATAACCCTGCGCCCTGATCCAACTTCTTGCGGAATCTAAATAATGCCGCACGGCGCACACATCTTATGGTCTGCCCCTGGCCATGGGCTCTGCTGGAAGATCGCAACTGCCTACAACGCTCTATCCAGATCCTCCGCCACTAGGATGAAATCTATTATGGATCTGGATTGGAGCGACGTGTGGCTGTTTCATATGCAGGTGAAGAGCTTTCGTTGTGGGTGGCGGCGTCTAAAGGAATCATATAGGTGTTCCGCATCACAAAACCTACGGATGATGCCTTCGTCTTCCTCTATATAGGCGGGACACGGGGAGGGAATTTTCCACCTGTCCATGCTGCGATCAGGGGCTGCATTGAAGTCCCCTGCGGTAATCACAGGGATGCCTTGCGGCAGTTAAGCCCGTATGTGCTCAAAGAAGATCTTGCATTGCTCTACCTCATTGGGTCCATAGACACATACCACGCAGACTACTTCTACCTCCAACATAACTTAAGGAGGGCTGCCACCCATATCCCCTCTCTCGCATCCACTGCGGAATGGATGACGTCCGCTCGAGAGTCGGGGGGGGACCCATATT